ACTTCACCGAGAAATTCCTCCTCCACACTGATGCTTCTGAAGCTGGATGGGGGCTGTCTTTTCCCAAGTGGTTGATAGTGAGGAACATCCCATTCTGAGTTACAAATTGTTCCCAAGAGAGGCCTACTCCATTATAGAAAAAGAGGACTTAGCTGTGAAATGGGCCATGGAGGCACTCCAATATTACCTTCTTGGCAATTAATTCACCCTGGTCGTGGATCATGCACCTCTATGATGATTCCATGCCATGAAGGACATCAACCCCCAACTCATGGTGATACGGCTCTCTCCAGACCTTCTCCTTCTGTGTCTGGCATAGGACTGGGTTGCTTACTGAAATGCAGACTCAGTAGAGGGGAGCTGAAGTGCAAAGCAGTGCCCTAAGTAAGATCCTTTTTCTCTATGTGTGTGTATGTGTGTGTGTGGGTGGGTATGTGTGTGTGTGTGTGTGTGGGTGGGTGGGTGCGTGCATGGGATTGGTGGGTGATGAGGCAAATAGGCCTGGCAATGAGAAGGTTAATGAAAGCCAGTGGATCCACCTCACTATACTTCAGCAAATGTTGGACATGTGGAGCGAGGACTGGAAATGTTGCTCGGAAAGCAGAGGGGAAGCTTTTTGGGCAGAGTGATGGGTTGAAAGAGGCTTGGAACTGTGAACAAAGAAAATACCTCCTGTTGTTTGATTTCTGCTGTCTTCAGAGTAACAGGATTTTCTGTATATTCTTTGTAAACTAACAAGATTGCATCAAAGAAATACTTTACTCCATATCAGGTTCTCCTGATGGAAACAACCCATAAGACCCCGAATATCCTATTAGGTCAAAAAGCAGTAACAATACTTACAGAAGAGAGGCTCTGCATGTACATTATAGATGCTGGGACATTTTGTGGTTTTTCTGGTACAAATTTACATCCAGCTTCATACAGCTTTGTTTGTTGATCATATTCACATTCTCTTGTCGTGCAGCTGTTTCCTGTGCAGCTTTGGACTATATATTTACCAGTGATATCAGCCGAACAGCTGAAGGAAGGTGAGATAGAAAGAGGCTTAGCTAACAAGCCACATATAACCAACAAATAATAATCTGTTATTTATTATTTGAATCGTGGTAGGCCCAAAACCTCCAAACATGATTGGCATTAGTTAGACACCATGGGCAGTGGGTGAACCACGGACTTGGGGAGGCTAGCCCCCCAGCCGCCCCATTCCTTCTGCCTGGCACCCTGCCCCTCCTCCCCACCTTCCCCCACTGGAGCCCAGAGGCTGGAGCACCGAGTGGGCGGGCAGCACAGCCCACCCCTCAGCCCCAGAGTGGCAGGCAGGCAGGCGGGCAGGCAACTGAGTGCGGCCCCCGGCGCGGTGGGCAGGCAGCACGCCCCACCCCCGCTGGATAGCCAGGTGGGTGGGCGGCACGAGCACCAGCTGCAGCCGCCCGGAGTCCCTGGCTGCAGCCGGCCCCCACTAGCCCCAGCCTGGGGCAAGGGCCCTGAAGCCCTCCCAAGTGTGGGAGGTCCAGAGGCTCCCACCCAAGGTGGAGGCAGAAGCAGCCCCTGCTCGAGTCACAGGCCCCCCACCCAGGGCAGGTGGAGGGACCCAGGTTCCACAAAGCTTCCCGCGCAGCTCTCCCCAACCTTGCTCTGGCCAGGCGTGCGGGGCCTCAGAGCCACAGCCTGGCTATGATAAGAGTCGGGTGGGCATCTGTGGGCAGGTGGAGGGTCTGTGGCTCCTCTTACCTGCCTGCGCGGCTCTTACCATGGCCAGGCTGCAATTCTGAGTCCACCCCCCCCACCTTGCCCCGGCTGGAGCTGGGTCGGGGAGAGCTGTGCAGGCAGCTGTAGGGAGCTTGCCCGGAGTCACAGACCCTCCTCCTGCCCTGGGCAGCCGGGCAGGGGGGACATGGTTCGGGGGCTGCTCTCAGCTCCCCCCATCCCCACCTGCACGCCGGGCAGGTGGAGGGTCTGCCATGGCTCCACACAGCTGCCCGGGCTCCCCAGGTGGACTCCATGCTGGCCTGACCACAGGGTGGGGCTTGAGGGAGGAAGAGGAGGGGAAGGGGTGGGTTCCTGGTTCACTCCTGGTTCCGGCGCCACTGGCCCAAGGCCCCGGCCACAAGAGAAGAAAGAGCCACAGCAGAGCGCGGCCGGAAGCAGGAGGGGGTCTATGGGAGGAGTGTGGGTGGGGCCACGCAGGCAGTTTGGGTAAGCTTAGCTTCCCCTGCCTTTAATATCCGCTGCCCATGTTAGACACCATCTCTGCTCTAAAGACTTTACAATCAAAATTATTTATAGGTTGTGTGTGAAACACCATCTATGTGAAGAATAACAGTGCAAGTGCCTCCACTATTCCATCAATATGCCTCAATCCAGACATGAAGGACCCTCGCCTGAGGTGAACTGGTACTACACTCTCCATGCCTGTTCAATTACTGTCTCGGGGACAGAGTTCTAGGGCTAGAGCTCACCCAACACTCTGATCACCAAGCTATTCCCCCTGGAGTGGACTTAACTGGGAGTTGGGGGCTCAATGGCTTAATTAGACACA